AGCAGAATGAAATAATTTAGAACATTTGATGATGAATACTTGATGAAGAATGAAATGTCATGACTAACCATTTCAAAGAGAATAATGAAGAAGATTTGAGTCCGCAAAGATATTATTAGCGTATGACATTGCCAATAGAAACACTAATATAAGCTTGTTCTCTTGAGTTCGATTCGAGTTGCTTGTATGTTCAACAAAATGAATAAACAGTTTCTGTTTACTGATAGGAAATCAAACGACCAAACATGGACTAATAATCTCAATAATTCAATTTTTTGAGTCATCTGTAGGACCTGTTCGCAACGCAAGGGTGAAAGATATAATAGAAAGCCAGCTAGAATATTTTGTCGGTATCATAAGGTAGCTTAAAAAAAGCTTTTCTTCGAAAGCTATATAATGTTAATACTTATGTTGTTATATTACATGGTTGTATAAGACATCCTGATATTCCACAACATAGGTCTATCTTTTCACACAACGCTGATCAATCCTACTGACAATGACTATGAGTCTTCGTTTTCACTATACTTCTTTTAAAGGCACATTGAACTAATTCATTTTTTGTTTTTTGTATTTAGAATGGCTCATTATAAATCTACTTTTTCACCAAAAGTTGAAATGAGACGCGAGCGGCGTCTACAAATGCGCAACATCGTTAAAAGTATTATGGATAATCATGTTTCAAGCGAAGAATCTTCAAGTGATGACAGTATTGATTACAACTCTTCCAGAAATATTCTTGATTCAATTCAGCTAGATTCGACAACGTCGCATGCAACTGCATCACAGAATGATAAATTCGAAGAATCTATATTGCAAAATACTTATACATTAGATGAAGACGACGTATTAATGGATGATTTATTCGACTGTCCACAAGATCTCTCACCACCTTTATATAACAATGCGCGTATATCTGTCAAAAACGCTACATATCAATTAATGGACTTTGTTATGGAAGCGAATCTCGATAAATCAACAACGACTAAATTATTTAAACTGGTAAAGAATTTATTGCCTAAACCAAATATATTGCCAACAACAAATACGCAAATTCTGAAAGTTTTAGAACGGGTGTCACTCTTTCGATCAAAATTCTATTGCAATGGATGTTATGAATTATGCATTACACGAGGTAGGAAGAAAATTTGTGACAATTCCAAATGTTCATTTTCCAATAAGGCGTTGAGCCCCTGCGATTTAGTGAGGTTGTTGATCTGGATATTTCATCACAAATTAAAACCGTTATTGAACGGAACACTTCATTACTTTTTGATCGCCATACACTGTTTCAACGCTTTGACGTTCCATATGCAGATCAATATCAATCTGTACCAGCACCAAAGCAGCAACGCATCACACTTATTATTCATGCGGATGGTTCACTGCTTGTTCGTACTACAAAATCTTCTTTGTGGCCAGTGTTCGCTTCCATTGTTGAATTACCGCATCAGGTAAGAGAGTTTCAGAGCAATATTTTGCTTTTAGCCCTGTGGGCTTCCTGTGAGAAGCCTTACGTCGATCTCTTGATGAAAAACTGCATTACTCAACTGCTTGAATATGAAAAAAATGGCTTGCAAATTATAGTCAACGGCATTGAAATGGAGGTTATCGTACAGCGTCAAATGTTTATTGCCGATCTTCCAGCAAAATGTTTGTTTATGAAGTGTATCAATCACAATGGTTATTCAGCATGTACTGTCTGCATGAATAAAGGTAAGATTGTTGCGTTTAAACAGTTAATATTTTAATTGATCATGCAAATATCACTTATGATCAATATAGAAAAATATTTAAGAACGTCAAAACCAATATTTGGTACATCACAGTTTTTAGATAAACATGAATTCTAAGATGATTTTAGTCATGTTTTACGAAAGTGGCGTCCCGAACAATAGCTTTGTCTATTTCAGTCTTCCCCAATGTGTTTGAGGTTACTCTTATCCAGAACGAAAATAGGGAAATTAATAAAGTCATATTTGCGTCATTTAATAAATCTTTTAGTGTGAGTTTCATATCTCAATGCAATTTAATCGTTTATGCAGTAGGAAAAATCAGTTGGAAATATTCAGCAAAGTAAAAACAAATGGTGCTATCGTACCTTCAGAGTTTCGTTCATTACTTTATCCATTCATCATAACTTCGTCAAACAGCTCGTTTTCCTTTCGATTGCAATCTAGCATAAACAGGAACAGCGCATTCAATAAATAACTAAGAACCAATGAATTAAAATTTAAATGTTTTTTAAATCACAAGCCTACCTTATATTTTGTTGTTTCAGGTACATGGAAAGGACAGGTTCTTTATCCGTATAACGAAAAAAACGATCGTCGTCGTGTTCATGCAGATGTAGTTTTATTGGGAAAAGAAGCTGAACGAAGATTGATGCCCGTCGATGGAATAAAAGGCGTGTCACCTATGCTGAAAATTTTCACATATCCTGATCAAACTATTTATGATTACATGCATTTGATATGTCTCGGTCACACAGCTACATTAATCAGACGATGGTTGTCTCCACTTGAACGAAGTAAGTTGTTAGAAATAGATAATTTACTTGACGCACTTCGACTTCCTCATAACATAAACATCTCGTTCAATCATTCCATTAATGATATGTCCGAATGGCATACGAAGCATTTCAGATTATTTGTATTGAACATTGGATTACCTTGCGTTATTCCACATTTACCTCGACTTAATTCATCACATTTTGCAGTGTATTGCTTAGCAATTAAGCTGTTGCATTGTCCAAAATCACATCATGAAATCAATCTGGCAGAATCACTTATCGATTATTATTGTCGTGCAGCACCAGAAGTTTATGACCATTCAATTGAACTTTTATCATTACACGCTCATTTACACTTAGCTGAACAAGTAAGACGGCATGGTGGGTTGGGTTTTTCATCTGCATTTTGTTTTGAGTCCTGCATTCGTCACCTCAAAAAATTAGTTCATGGAACAAGAGATCTAGCATCGCAAGTGGCATTCTGGTTCGATCTTCGCACTGCTATTCATCGACCACATTTTCAATTGCAATCTCCAGCCGGTAAAACTAAAATATTAATTACAAGTATGAAAATGGAAAAATATCGATCTCTATTATTAAATAATCTGCGTGCTATAGGCCATGATGACAAACAAGTCGTTTTATTTCTTCGTTACAAAGATATGTTCAATACGTACCATTCTGTATTGTACGATCGACCATTTAAATGTGCCAGTTTCATCGTTTCCTACAAGACTCCAAATATAGATTCAAATCTTTACGGAAATATTGTATTATTTTATCAGTTGAAAGACCAGTTCTTTGCTTTCATACAGCAGTACAAAAAATCCAATACTACGATATTTGATTTTCTTGATCTACCAGAGGCAATATCTCATTCTCTCAATGAAAATTTTCCTCTTCTTCATTTATCTGATTCTTATGGTATTATTCCTGCCGGTTGGATTCAACATAAATGCGTATCTGTTTCTTTTCATGATTCTTTTTGTCTTTCTGAATTTCGTGTAGATTTCGAACACGATTAGAAAGGTAAGTGAATATTTTTTTAACTCATTCATTCTTAACAAAAAACAATGACAAGAATTAAATCGAATCTCATAGATATACTCTCTACTAATCAACCACACTTTCTATTTCAGATGTCTAATATTTACCAAAAATTATATAAAACTTCACGTCGAGATAATGTCATATCAGAACAATATGCCTTTATTACATATCTCGACGAATCTGATATGTACAGTATTGTTAGAGCCAATCGAGTTCTTGATGTAGACACAAACAACAATGGTATTATCAAAGATTTTAAAGCAACATATCGTGTTCAAATAGTCGAAATAGGTGACGTTTTTATTGAATAATTAACACTAGCTCTTTTTTTTATTATTTTCAGGAACACTTGCCGAGATGGAAGAAGCTGCCAAACTCATTGAAAGTGATCCACAAATGACATATGAAATGCACGAAAGTGTTGTATCAGACTGTGATGAGTGGTACAAACGAAATAGTCAGAAGGAAAACATGAACAGTAAATCATATAAACAGAATAAAAGTAAGCAAAATTTGATCATCCGACACATTCCTTCTAAATACATATTAATTCCTTCGAGTATCTGCCTAAAAACATTTCTCAGGCGCAAAGTTCCACACTGATGACTTTAAATGAGACTTTTATGTATAATTTAAAAAGAAGCTCACCTATATAAAAAAGCAAGGTATGGATGTTTGGAAATTTCAGTCGAAACACACAAGAAGATATCATTTTTTTTATGTATTCACTATCTTAAAATTAAATATGAAAAATAATTAGCCTTTTATGCATTACTTACCGTTAACCATTTTTAAAGCCTTTCTTTTTATTGTAGATCATGAATTATCATCTATGAAACAAATCGAATTTCGTAAGTATCTTGCTTTGGTCGCCTATTTCCTTTGGTACATTTTCATTTTTCAGAATCAAACGAACATCAGCAATCACCAACACTTGCTGAATTCAATAATGTACATAAAGAAGCATCTTTGAACAAAAGTAATATTCTTCAACTAAATTATTGCACATTATTTTTTTT